TCTGCGCTGGTTAGTCCTCAATTGGAGTATTGTGTCCAGTTCCGGGCACCACGTTTCAAGAAGGTTGTGGAGAAAATGGAGAAGATCCAGAGAAGAGCAACAGAAATAATTAAAGCTCTAGAAACCAGTTTTCAGGTATCTAAAAGGGTGTCATAAGGAGGAGGTAGACGACGTGTTCATCTTGGCCTCTGCATGAACATGTTCTCTGCAGAACGGCCCTGAGACGCGTCAGTCACGACACCTCTCGGCCTGCCTTGCGAGAGCCAAGCACACCCAGCCCAAGCGCTCCGGGGAAGGTCTTTTCTGCAGTCCCCAGCCTCGGGCTCACACTTGCTGTGCCACCTCCCGGCCTGCTCGCTGCTCCGCTCACGTCCCCGGGGATGGCTGCGCCGGACTCACCAGCCCAGCGCCCTGCGAGCACCTTTGGAGCAGTTTAATCATAGAATCACAGAATATGAGAACTGGAAGGGACCTCGATAGCCATCGAGTCCAGTCCCCTGCCCTCACGGCAGGACCAAGCACTGTCTAGACCATCCCTGAGAGACATTTATCTAACCTGCTCTTAAATATCCCCAGAGATGGGGATTCCACAACCTCCCTGGGCAATTTATTCCAGTGTCTGACCACCCTGACAGGCAGGAACTTTTTCCTAATGTCCAACCTAAACCTCCCTTGCTGCAGTTTCAGCCCATTGCTTCTTGTCCTGTCCTCAGAGGCCAAGGAGACAATTTTTCTCCCTTCTCTTTCTGATACCCATTTAGATATTTGAAAATCACTATGATGTCCCCTCAGTCTTCTTCTTTCCAAACTAAACAAGCCCAATTCTTTCAGTTTTCCTTCATAGCTCATGTTCTCTAGACCTCTCAGCATTCTCGTTGCTCTTCTCTGGACCTTCTTCAGTTTCTCCACATCTTTCTTGAAACGTGGAGCCCAGAACTGGACACAAGACTCCAACTGAGACCTAACCAGCGCAGAGTAGAGCAGAAGAATGACTCCTCGTGTCCTGCTCAAAACACTCCTGTGAATGCAGCCAGAATCATGTTTGCTGGTTTTGCAGCAGTGTCACGCTGTTGGCTCATATTTAACTTGTGGTCCCCTATGATCCCTTCCTGCAGGTCTCCTGCCTAGACAGTCACTTCCCATTCTGTGTGTGTGAAACCATTCTCCGGTTTGTCCAGATCGTTTTGAGTTAGGACCACCTCCTCCACAGCACTTGCACCTGTCCTGTCTGCTTCTCTCAGCAGCTCCAGGGGCTCAAAGTCTCCCTTCCCCACAGGAAAGGTGAAAAGATTTTTTCCCCCATAAACCAATTCTCTCCAAACCTTCCCCCCTTTTCATCAAACATGGCCAATGGCGTGTGTGTTGGGTCTTCACCGATTACAATGATCATGTCCAGTTTCATAAAACGTGGTCTGGGACGCTGGCGTTTCCGTGGTTCTCAGGGGTTTTCCTTTATTAAGGGAAGCTCAGGATTTGGGGGATAATTTCTGCTGCGAGAACCAACAATATTTGTTTGTAAAAAGGAAAATATTTCAGCTGAAAAGCAGCACCTGGAACAGGGACCGGGAGTTGCAGTGGTGCCTTGCTCCACCCCACACCGAGCAATTCCTCCCTCCCAGCCAAAGCCTGCGTTCTCTGCACCTGCTGATCCCTCGGCGCACAGATGTGTGTGGCCCCAGAGCGGGCCGGGGCAGATGGCAATGGCAAAGCAGCATTGCCCTGTCCCACTGCCCTGATCCACAGCCACTGAATGACGGTCTCCTCCGCTCCAGCACTGAACACTCTGTCCCCATCGCTCTCAGGAGCGGCGTGCACAAATAACTTGCATGGAGATCCGGGGCAGACCCACGCCGCTGAAAATCACACTCGGCTTGACCCCCACCTACTAATCTGTGAATGTGGGCAGTGGCAGTTCTCGATGGACCCTCAGTGGTGCTGAATCCGGCAGCAAGAAGCTGACCCATTTTAATGAACAACGTAATCAACAGGGGGCCAGAGGGTTTGGCTTCCTCATAACACACAGACAGACAGATAGACAGATAGGGCAAAATAAATTCCAATACATGTATCCGAGTAATAACGTCTAAAGGATTCGATCAGCCTATCAAGTGTGTGTTGTCAATTTCCGCCAAACAAACGCGCGTACACAAGAAAGCGAAGCATTTTCACAGAGACCAGCTAGACAAAGGAATAAAGTTCGAGTGCACCGAGCTGTGAAACATGCTAGGAAATTGGCTTGTGAGAAGAACAGATCGGTCTGGGTTCACAATACTGCCAGGGCAGGTATAGAATTAAGAACAGCTGTTTTTATCAATCAACTTTTGTAAAAAACAGAGGTTGAAAAGTGTGGATTTGGTGTAGTCTAGGCACACCCATAGATAGAGAAGATAGATAGATAGATAGATAGATAGATAGATAGATAGATAGATAGATAGATAGATAGATAGATAGATAGATAGATAGATAGATAGATAGATAGATAGATAGATAGATAGATAGATAGATAGATAGATAGATAGATAGATAGATAGATAGATAGATAGATAGATAGATAGATAGATAGATAGATAGATAGGATCATTAAGTTCCTGACACAAGGAGGTGCAGTTTCAGGGTAGTGAGTCTCATTTCTCACCTGAAACACATTATAAACTTTCACCACCTTGTTCTTCTTGTTCTCAGTCATTATCTCTGAGGATGAAGCGGAAGAACATGAGTAATCACAGCTTGTGTTCATTGATCACTTGAGGAAAAGATTGAATGAGAAGATGGCTTGATAAGACTGTCACAGACACTCCCACTTTCGTATCTCTTCCAATCTTGGTTAACTACGCTTCCCGTGTGCCTTAATGACACAACCATGAGTCGTGTGTTTCGGGCAGAGTGTTGTGACTCAGTGTTATGTCACCTTCCAAATGGGCCTTTGCCACTGTCCAGACAAGTCAAGGGAAGACTTGGCAATATGCTGTGAACCAAAGCAGGGTTTTTATTTCCTTTAAACCACATTTTTAAACACGTTTCTGACAAACGATAGTCCAGCTCCCCGACACTTTTCTTCTCTCCATTTTTGCGAGTGTGAAACTCAGACACAGGGGTGCTCAGCTGTTTCACAGGGAATGTCTTTTGATTGAGTCCTTTGACAGCACCTGTGAACACCATGGGACCCTGATTCCTGGTCTGGTTCCTATGGATATGTCTACACCGTTATTTCGAAATAGCTTATTTTGAAATAACATGTCTACACACAAAATGCATTTCGAAATAGCGCGTCTACACTGAGTGGACTCTGAATCGCCTTTAAGGCTGGCTGCAACCAGGTCCAGCAGGGCATCAGGTCAGTAGTTACTTTGTGTGGCTGCTGCCTGAGGCTATCTGAGGCCTGTGCTTAAAGGGACCCCCTGTGGACATCCAGGTCTCAGGTTTCCCTGCTTGCTTCCCTACCTCAAGGAGGGAGAGCAAAGCATTTTGTCTCTATATGCTGTGGTTGCCTTCACTCAGGACACCACAGCACTCTGCACCATGGAGCCAGAGCCGCCCCTGGGCACTCTGGTGCTTCTCGTGGACGTGTTGCTGTGAGCCTGGCTGCACTTTCTGCAGGCTGCCATCCTGGAGGTCGATCGGGGGGCTGTCAGTATCCAGGAGGCCCTGCGGGAGAGCTTCCACCCTGAGGAGCACTAAGAGCCTCCCTGGTCTGCCCCACTGGGGGCTTGTGCCTCATTCCTCCCTCACATCCTTCCACTTACCCCTCCCTAAGCCCCCTTCCTGATGTCAAATAACATACACGTATTTGCATGAACACAAACTCTCTTTATTTAACAAAATTGGGGGGGGGGGATGAAACTCTGGTGAGACTGGGAAAAGGAGGCAGGAGAGGGGAGAAGAGAGGGTGGGAGAAGGGAGGGGGAAACCTGGGAGGAGGGAGCTGGAAGGGGGAGGCAAGGGGAGGAAGGGGGAGGGGAAGCTCAGGGTTGGGGGTCTCGCTGGACCAACTTGATTTTCATGCTAACCTGCTCCTGGGTTCGCATGTGGCCTTTGGTGGCCAGGCTGGCAGCTACCCTGCCCTAGACGGCCGCATTCCCCCCTCTAGTGCGGAGGTCGTGGACGTTGGAGGCCTCCCCCCAAACCTCGATGAGCTCCACGATCTCCGCACTAGACCAGGCAGGTGGGCGCCCACCTCTTGCGGCCCCCGGCAGGCTCCTTGGAGGCGCCCA